TTTTTAAAAATAATCCGTATAAACTACGTTATAAACAAAAAATTGTAGGATTACTTACCGAGTGTGTACCCTTTGACTACGCTCGTTGCTAAAGCTTGGTTTCGTCGCGGAACAGCGCATCAAATTGCGGCCGCTATTTCTGATATTATTTTTCTGCTAAAACTTCGTTGACCTTTGGAGACATCATTAATATAAATAATTTTTATGGCCGTTAAATAAGAAATGTTTCTTTCACAAGAAATGTATAAAATTACAGTACTAAACAGACGATAGGTCGCCTAACTCGCCGTAGCGTGACGCTAGACGGCGAAAAATATATATTTAATTATAATAAAGTTACAATAAATTAAGTTAATATATAATTATATATACAGTACCTAATTTATATATAATTAATATATAATTATATGTACAGTACCTAATTTATATATAATTTATATAATACTGTCCAGACGATAGAAATCTCTCCGTAGCGTGGCGCTACGGACGGCGGGTAAGTAGTTCGGCTGCCCGATGACGTTTTACGTATTATAGGAGTTATTTTTACCGTTGTTTACGGATAATGCCACAATTTTTATAGGAATCATAACTATAGGAAACGCTTTTATAGGGGGATCTACTGTACTTTCTCAGAAATTCTTATTTAAATTACATATATTTTTTACCAATACTAAAATGGTTACTTCAGAAAACCAAAGTTTTAACCAAATAATAAACATTTTCATCCCAATCTGGGACAAATACAGTTTACAATTCATATAAAATGAACATAAATATCATCAATCTCTATCGTAAATTGAAACTGTCTGGGAGCAGGACAAAAACATTTCTTATTATTCAGTTAAAGATTCAACTTCCTAAGTTGATAATAATATAGTGCCAAGGATACATGAAATATATTGTTTATCAATTACTAACAAAAAAAAAACAGACAATAAACCTTAATGTATCACCAGCACAGAGCTTTAATATAATTTAAATTCAGACAAACATTTTCGAGTTAATGTCGGATCTACTTCAGGTCTCTATGGTTCAATGTTCTATTTTGGAATGCATGCTGGTGATAATAAGGCTTATTGTGGTGTTTTTGTTTGTGTTTATTCAACCAGTTTTGTGAATAGTTGTAACTTATCAATTACTCATAGAAAAACAAAATGGATACTTACATCTATTTTGAATTTTGGTAATATTTGGTGATCTGGTCATATTTGCTTCTGAAGTAGGTTTACCTATAAAAAGAAAATAAACTACATTACATTTTAGTTTCTAAAATAAATTTTTACTAATCCATTTTATTTATTATTAACTAATAAAAATTTAACACAATAAAAAAAACAGTTGTTTTTTAAAATAAATTAATCATTTAAATTAAATTAAATAATAAAATTTTAAATTTTTCCAATTACATGAGTAAACATATTAATCTAATTTTGACTGATTCATAATTAAAAAAAATAGTAAAAACATTGCTATAAAGTTTTAAAAAATTTCATTTTATAAATATCTGATAAATTATTATTTGATGATCAAATTAAATATAAAGTAAATATATTAATTATTTTCAGAGTATTTTTAAATTATACAAAAATGAATGATATTATTAATGTTCAAGAAAAAATAAATAAATAAAGAATAAAATCATTAGTTGAAATAGAATTATTAATTAACCATTTAGAAAAATCAAGACAATATTTGAAAGTTTTAATTATATATTAAATTGACAAAATTTTATTTATATGTCACCATTTCTAAGTTTTCTGCAGTTTTAAGTCTTATTACTTACATTTTCATTTTATAGTTATTTTGTACATATATATTTTATTTAGTTATTTACAATCAAAAGCAAGAAATATTTCTCATATATTACTATGATATAATGAATAGAATACACAAAGTTTCCAGGCAGACTTTTTGTTGCGTTAAATTACAAACAATACAACCCATTAAACATCTGTCAACTGTATTTCTTATATAAATCATATTTTTAAGATTTGTTTTATATTGTTATGATTTCCTTATGTATATTTTTAATTCATTGATTAAATAATACAGCAAAATTAATTACTATATTCTAAAAATAGAAAACAAACAATGATATTTTATCAATATTTTAAACACTATAAATCATTAAATTTAAAAGAATAAGCTAATTAAAAAATTTCAATTCTTATCTTTCTTAAATATTTCATGTCCACAAAATTTCTATATTATCATATCTAAGAATTTTAATAAATTAAAATTATGTAATAAAACAGCGTCTGTTACATTTAATATTGCTCTGTACATATATAAAGTATATAAAGGTTTATAAAATATATGTTTTTGACTTATTAAAATGGTCAAACTGGGAATGAGCTCGTTCCATTAAACCGACGTATTTAAAATTATTATAGCATACAATTACAAGTTACAAATTACTAGCATTTATGTATTAATCTTTAAGTAAACTGTATTGCAATGTTATATTATGTAACTAATCACAATAAATTGTTTCTCTTGAGAGTGTAGTTACATTGTACTATTTTAATAAAATATAAATGCTATCCTATAAACATATGTTTACAAAATTTAATTTTAATAAACATTGCTTGTAATATAATTGTCATTGTTAACTGAACATTAGTATTAGATTAAGAAATAATAGCAATTTATAGTAAAATTTGAAATGATTTTAAAATTACCAAATATTCGAAATAGTAGTAACGGTAATAATAAATAAGATTACTATTTTACCAACATTAATTGATAAAATGGGGATTCTTTTTAAACAAATTTTATTTATGTTATTTCTTATTGTTACCATTATATTTAAACTTATTATCAAATGTTTTTATACATTCAATTCTGTTAATTTGGCTTGGATCTAATTCATGAAGGCCCATTAATTCTTAGTCTAAAACGTTCTTAAAGTATTTGCTGGATTTCATAAGCCATTATTTTTATTTAACATATTTTACCAATTTTAAACACATTTTTAAAAGTGAATATTATGTATGCAACTTAATAATTTAAATCTAGTTCATTTTAAACACATTTATTATCTTATGATTAAATGTTTGAAAATTTATCATTTAAATTTTTAAAATTTAATTTTAATTTAAAATGCATGTGATGTAAAATTCAAATTAGTTTTTTTAAAAATAAATTTTGTATATATTTTTCTGAATTCTCTGAATCATTCAGCAAATTTTTCTGCATGAATAAATTATTGCTAATATAGTATTGAAAACTATATTATTTTATTTATAAAATATGAATTTATCATTCTACAGTGTACCAGTAGTATAAATACAGAAAAATTTATGTATTTTCTGTATATTTGAAACACAAATTACTTTAAAATTATAAATTTTTTATTATAATTCTTATAAGCTTTATTATTATAATAAAAAAGCTTTAAGCGATTAGAATTAAAAGAAAATTCATAGATAAACTGTATACAAATGGAATTTAAAAAAACAAAATTAGAATTGCAAAGTATGAATTTTACTAGTTTCTTCAAAATATCGTAAATTAATGTGGATTTTAAAGAATGCCAAAGGAGGAAATAACTTGAAAATGGTAATATAGAAACAATTTAAAATCTTAATGTATCTTGGTTTACAAATGTTTAATTCTATCATTTCTCAACTTAAGAAAAATTTAAACAATCATTCTCAATCCATAATGTTTCTTCTAAATATGCAACTATTTCTTCACTGTGTCTGACAATTGATGCTACCATAACTAAAAGTTTGCTCTCCATTTAAAACTATTATTGTAAAATTTTCTTTAAAATCATAAAAAATACAATTTCATTATATTATATGCTACAATTCTATTATTGCCTGCATGGAATATGAATTTTTAGCAGCCACTAGAATTTCATAAATCGCAGCTACCTGCTGAGCCTGTTTGTTTACTTCGTGGCTTAAAAAATTTTCTTCTACTTTTTCTTCTTCATTTTATAATTTCGATTTATTTCACAATCTGTAACATAGATTCATGTAATCTATTTTATAGATTAGAAAATAAATCTAAACCTTGAAAAACAGCATGCAACTGAAGTGGCCATTTTTTTCAGAAGTTTATAAGCCTAGAAACCGCGAATGATACATTGTTGTCATCTATTATTTAAAATAGCATCACAAAAATATTTGAGAGAGTTTTAACATTATGAAATTAGAATATATAAATTTAATTATTTTTTTATTCATTCTTTCCTGCAGGCACTAAGAGGGTCTTCCTTGAACATAAAATCATGGATGTGACCAAGTCCCATCTCTCAACCAGAGTCCAGATGAGGATAAATGTAACAGATGGAGTTCTATGTATCCAAATGAATATATTACCATAAATTATTTAGCAATATTCATATGCATTTAGCAGCTGACTATATATTGTTTAAAATTACAAAATATATTATTATATAAAACATGAATTATTATACTAGGTAAAATATGTAAATAAATTTATTAATGCTTTTAGATAAATATGTTAAAATTAATTAATTGTATTATGAACAATCTTTTGAGTTTAATCTGTCATGTTTTCAATTTTATTGTATACAATAATCTACATAGCTGGTTTTCAACAAATAAAAAGCATCATTGAACACTTGACAACTTTCACATAGACAAATTTTATAAAAGTACTATTCTCTAACAGACAAAAAAAAAATAATAAATATATTCTCTACTGAAATAGCATTTCGATAACATAAAAAAGTTTTTAAAATAAAATATATATAACCTTCTATGTAACATTAAATATAACCTTTTACAAATGGTTATTTAAATAATAAAACTTAATAAGTTTGCAATTAATTTACACATTCTCTTCATTATGCTTTGACTTAATTAGGCTTTAAAAATTTAAATTATAATCATATAAAAACAGGATATAGAAATAAGGTCAACAATTTTTTTTTTCTAGATGACAGTTACTATGATAATGTATGTTAATCACATTTTTATTCATTACATTTTATATTGATGGTTGTAACAAAAACTCAATACAATAAGAAATTGGCAAAACATAATCCGATTATTAAATATCAATCAATATCATAAAAAACACTCATCTACAAATAGTATCATATGATATTTTTCAGACATATTAGTCAAAGGAATGTCTTTTAATATAGTTTTAGAGATTAGAACTGTATGATCCACTTGTATTATTGCTTACTGAAGTGAATCACTCTCAATATGTATTTGGAAGAGCTAGATGAAATGATTAGATAACAATGAATGATAACATTTTTAATAGCTTATTATTATTATTTTTGAAATTTAATAAATTATCTCAACTATTTGATTGAAAACAAGAGACAAACTAACATAACTTCAAATTTTTTTAATAATATTTACATCTAATAATGTTTTCTGCTGCAAAATTACTAGAAAATGTTAATGTTTAATATTCTTCATTTCATATGTATCATCATCTGCATATTAAAACTATGAAAGTTAATGACTTTTTTAAATATATAAAAGTTTTCTAAATGAAAAAAATTACATAAAAAAGCTGCAGGTGTTTCTAAATTATGTTTCAAACTAGATATCTATATATATATTTAGTAAGATCTATAGTCATGATCTTATCTTTTTCTAAGATATTTATTTTACATTTATCATTCTTTTTTATAAAATCTTAAAGTTTAAAAATGTCTGAAGTGCTGATTAAAAAAACAGATAAACTTCACAATCTTCATTTTTTTTTTCTTCTGTTTTTAGAAACTAATTGTTGCTTTCAAAATTCTTTACAAAAAAATAACGTTTTTCGATAAATTTTTCAGACAATTTTATTTACAAACAAAGGTGATCGATACAGCAACGAAAACAGTATTTATAGCCTGTCCTCGTTTATGATCTCCCACCAATCAAGTAAATATATATATCGAAAAATACAAAAAAAGAGAAAAATTTCAAGTATTTGTAATGTAAACAATTAAAATCAATTTTAGGCATTATTCACTCTTCATAATGCCATAATTAAAATGTAATTAAGAAGCCGGTATTTACCTTTATATTTTTCATTGCAACTTATTTCATTCCTGTGTTTAATAATTAAAATAAATGTTATATAAACTATTACAATTTAATAATAGTTAAGTTATAAAAATCAAATTCATGTAGATATTAAATTTCAAATACAGAAAACAAACTTCAATGTCAAGATAATTTTATATTAGCTTTCAAATATACGTAAAAAAACGTAACTGAAAAGTATCATTTTTAATTTCATCCATATTGACTAATTTTAAAATATAATTTATAAATGAAATAAAGAGAAAAATTTTAAATTTTTATCTTAAAAATTTATATATATCTGCATGTAATAAAATAGAAAATTATAATATCAATATTAAAATTGCAATAACCTGTTTATTAATAATGTATAAATGATTATATTGAGTAGTAATTATTTTGAAATATTGAACAGAATGTTCTTCATAATTAAAATATTATGCATTTAAATTTTCTTTAAAAATATTCGATAATAAAAATTATGCATACATAATAAAGGATATTAAATAGAGGATTTTGATAAGATTAATTTTATAAATATTAAATCATATTTTATTATTAAAATTTTAAAATAACAAAACTACTCGACTACTTTGTCTTAACATTTTTTTTTTATCGTGATACTAATGACATTGTAATTTTTAAATTCTCTTTAATAAAATGTTTATTGTTTAATAACATTTTATGAAAATTAACTAATAAAAATTATTAATTTAATTTCATTTTTGATAAGATCTCTTTTTCGTATTAATATATAATTATAAACAGAAATTTTATATCCGTTTAAAATTATCAAATTAATTTTTATCTTAAGATTCTGATGTACTATAATTATTTTTTTAAAAGGAAATATAAAACTAATCAGAATTAAAAGTCCATTTTTAAAACTTTATTTTAGTCATTAATTAGCTTTTCTTATACTTTAATATAATATTTGAATAAATTCACATATAATTATAGTAAAGACTAAGAATGTTACATATTAATAAGGTAAAACTTAAGTTGTATAAAAATAAAATTACATTTTGCATATAAAGTATAGAGAAGATTAAATGATAACTTTTAAATCTTTCTTTCTAATATATTAATTCATAATTCAATTTAATTTTTAAATTTTTCAAATCATAATCTCTTGATTATTACCAATCTTTTAAAACTAATGAAAGCGAAATTTTAACAAATGTATTTTACTTAAAAAGTCATTTTTTATTCTATTATCAAAATGATTCGTGCTTTAAAATTACCCATTTATAATTTAATTCAAACCAATACCAAAAATTGGTGAAATTCTAGTAGAGTACATACGAGAAATCTAAATAATATTAACTTATAAAATCAACAAATCATGTTTTATTTCTATAAACAATTTTGTGCTTAATTGGATAAAGCAATTATAAATTTGAAAAATAGTAATTTTTTCAAGCAATTATTCATTTTAATACTGTATTTTCTTCACATATCATCCAAAACAAATATGAATAAAATGAAAATCGTATATAATTTAATACATAAAAACAATATTTACATTGTTTAAATAACCCAAGGTAATTATTAAAAAAGAAGTTTAATAAAAGCAATCGAAAATATTTCCGAATATCCTAAAGAATTTTTGAAAATCCCATTCATTAATAATGATAAATATATTATATATAATCACTTAAAATGATTTCTGTAAATACGAAATAAAACAGGCCATTGATTTTTAAAATTTAAATAAATAATAAAATAATAGACATTTAATAAATAGCAATGAAACCAATTATGTGCTCCATACATGAAATAAAAAGCAAGATCTAGATTAAAAGCATTTAGGTTAGGTTAAATTGGACAATTTTATATTTATGCATTATACGATAAAAATAAAATTATGTTATTACATATTATATATATTCTATATTAAAAAATAAATAAGTTTTAATATAAAATTTCCAGATATAGAAATTAATCATTTATTTTTATCATTTTTATACAATCTTTTATTAGAATTATTTTGTTCAAATAAATAATAAACTTGTCACTAATTTAAACTAAAATATAGTGATTTTTCATAGATAAATATGTATAAGTTCTGAGATAATAAATTCAATCAAAAAAATATATTTATTTATCAAGATATTAAGTGTTTTTTTTATATTAGTTAATTATAAAAATCTGTAACAACTATTCTTTTCACTATACATGTAATTTTCTTGAATTTATACTTATTCAAATAATACTTATAAAACATATAAAACGAAGGTACAAGTTTTATTTAATAAATAGATTGTCTACTTAGAAGTTACGACGTAATAAAGTTTAATACATTTATAAAACATTATAATTTGGTCACAATTATGTCATATATAAAAATGTGGCTATCGATGTATTTATACATACATACATACATAAAAATAAAAATTACAAATTCCAAATAAATTATACTCTTACACAATTCCAGTTCTTAATTTTGAAACTGTTCCAAAATACCTAATGAATTTTTATTCAAAGTAATTTTCTACTGGGTAACATACAAACTTACAAAAAATTTTTTGTAACATAACTTACAAAAAATAAAGATTTATATCTAACAATGACAACGCAACAATCAAACACAAAAGATATATTTTAGACTACAGTGCAATGTACTTTTTTTTTTACTCGTGTTTTTCTCTGTATTCTATAGTATATTTAACTCCTAAAAGACTTCAAAGTTTTGAAATTCATCTAGCCTGACTGCGAAGATGCACATTTAGCTCATCCCCAGATGGTTCATATGTTAATGGAATGCTTAGTTTTCTTACTAAACAACTGTTCGAATTTTAATCACCGATTACTATTTTCACACACACTCAATCCAGAAAACGCTTGAAATCCATAGAATATACTGCAAGTGATTTATAATTAACACTACAAGCAAACAAAACACAAGTCATTTTTTTTTTAACAGAACAGACTGGCATTAAAAAAAACACGGTTTTTTTTTTCTTTGTTTAAGTGAAGTTAAATTGAATCGTGTGTATTTTAGCGTGTTGTATCCTGTGTTGTGTTGTGTGTTCTGTTCTGTGTTATGTTCTGTTCTGTGTTATGTTCTGTTCTGTGTATTAAGCTCTGTGTTGGAATGTATACAATGATACAATGAAAAATCTTACCTGTTGTACTAACTGAGCTGCATATCAGCAACCAGCTCATGAAACATACTCCGAAGATCATTATCAATAAACTAACGTTCGAATTGAGAAAATGGCACAATTTCCAGCATTTTTCCCCTCTATTTTCAGTTTTTAGACGATTTTTTCCCCTTCATATAAATTCGATTAGGCCTAGTTACGTCGGTGAATTAAAGAAAAATCTACAGATTTGTCCATCGTACGGAGCCTAATTACCAAGTTAAGTTAACCCGCTTTTAATTTATGTTTATACTTTTCGAAACTGATAAAAGTCGCGCCTGTTTTTGCCGACCGATAGCGATAATTTCGTAAGAAGCGACGTCCATCGAAATCGGCTTCATCTGATCACGTGGAGAGATGTGCCGTCCTTTAATATACAAACATTTCGTTTTTAATATCTGACGTAAATTATTTAATTTTATATTTTCGAGATATTTCGTTAATTTTAATATAAGTTTTTAGTGTTATTTATAAGTTTTTTCAAAAAATAATTTCGGTTTAGATTATAAATTTTAAATGCATCGTAAGAAAAGAGGGCGCTGGTAGCAGCTTAAACATCCGCCATTTGACTGGTTATGCAAGAATTATTACAATATGATCTCTTTTATATAAAGAGATTTTTATGCTAATTAAGATAAATTTTATTTATGAATTATTTACGACAGATTCGAGTTTTTATGCGAAAATATAATTAACATTTTTAAGCATTTGCGGCGTTAATATTTTATAATTTTTATTCTCTGTTTTAGCGAAATTATCGCGGTAATAATCGATCGATTTCGAATTTTTAAAATTGTGTTAATTTATTATTTACGCTACATAATTTTTACGAAGCGGAAAATACATCAATATAAGTCTTGCAACGGGACACAAATAATAATTCAATTTTTTCAAAAAGCAAAAAAATAATTTGAAACTGATTCTAAAATGTAGCACTCATATCTGTAAGATATCGCCTAAAGGCGTAAGGATCGGAATTCGAATCCGGTCTGAATCACCTTAAGTTTTGTTAATAATTGATATCAAGTGCCGTTCTCTATCATTTTTGAGGGCTTTTTCTCCTAACGGGCTTCTTGTTATACTTACAATGGAGCGACAATAGTGTCTGACGTATTCATGGGAAGAAAAATTCCCGAGATTTTTTCTTTTTGATCGCCTAGATTTGATGCAGGATCCTCTAGAATTGGGCTGAGATCCTAATTGCCTCGGGAATCCTGCAGTCATTTTCTATTCTTCCTTTGTATTGACCACACCCTAAGGATATAATTCAGACCGGAAATATATCCTTAGGGGCTATGCACAAATGCCATCCACACAGGGGAGGGAGGAGATTATAACAAGTCGGACAAGGGAGTAAAAATTTCAAGAAAAGTGTGGTCGTAATTTACGGACAGTTCCTTATCTACACATTAAAAAAAACTAAAATACCGTATTGAATTACTTCAAATTTAATAAACATATTTTGCCAGAAATTATATAGAGTATATTAAACAAAATAACTTGTTTCAAAATTGAAAGCGAGCATTCAATTTAATTTAACCATCTCTTGAAAATTTTTCTTTCTCGCTAAATACTTGAGCGAAAAACTTTCTGCATATTTTTATAAAAAAAACATAACTCAAGAATTTTATAAGCCTAATATCTTTATTCCATATTTCACACAATATATATTTTATAAACGGTAAAAGTGTAATAAATATCATTTTTACTTATAATACTGTCCGTTATATCACTTCTCTCTATTGAAAGTTCATTATTCTCCATTGACTTTCGCATGCGAAATTCTATAGTAATATACTTCAATCTTCAAAATTGAATTCCTCAATGCATTCTGAATGGTATCAAGCATTCTGCATAAAATGTTATATATATATACATATTTTTCTTTTAACTGAAAGCTTCCATTTTACGGTGTTGAAATTAAAAAAAAAAAAAAAAAAAAAAAAAAA